ATACGAAGCGAGTGGAGCATACATAACAATGAACTGAGTGCTCAGCGATTAGGCAGACGCAAATCATTTTGAACATGCCTATTGAAATTCCAAGCATGTATAGTTAGAAATTTAAACCTATTAAGGAGTGAATTAAGGTTATTTTTGAAATTGTTGAAAAATTAGGGCTCAGAAGCTCCACGAATTGTTATCAATCCCGTGGCAACTGTATATATCTTCCATATATATATATATTCTGTATGTACACAAAGTTATATAGGTTCTCTAATGAACACCGGGCAGCGAGGTACACTGGAGAGGCAACCAGATCCGATTTCCCATGCTTCGTCTCCATTTCCGTGTCCTTACGCTAAGGTTCGTCAATAGCGTCGAACCTGTGGTCGGAATCCGCCGTCTTCGTCGTCGAAAACTCAGAGAAGAGGTAAAAAGATTAATAAACCAGAGAATATTGGCCAACGTACCAAAATCTCCATCACAGATCCTCCGCTTTCGACATGATTGAAAGCCTGCTTTGCCTCGGACGGAAATCCGCTCGGCGCCTTTGACTGTGAGACGAAGGCCGGATGAGAGACGCCAAGGCCCGCTTCACCAAATCGCCTTCAACTCCTCCGATTCTGACCAGAGAGTTCGTCATCGCCGATCTCCGAGCGTTGAGGCGATTAGATGAGTAAGGAGTCGAAGGCTGCGACGGATGGCCTTTGTGGAGACTACACCGGAACGAACCAGGATGCGTGGTCGGAGAGCACATGCAGGTCCTCTTCTGGTTGCCCTGCCTCTTCACTACTTGACTCCCACTGCTACGAGTCAAAACGGAGAGAGGCCGATTCGGAGAAATGGATCGATCGAGTGAAAACCGCACAGACGACGCCGACGGAGAAGAAGAACCTTGAAGATTGACGCGAGTGGGAGACGTAGATCTACGGAAAAACGAAGTGGCATTTCTGGTGGAAAAAGTCGAAGTCGACGACGCAAAGGCCGACGAAGAAGAAGACGAAGAAGAAGAATAGGAGGCATAGAATCTCCCAGAAGGGGAGAGAGACCTCAGAACCGGCCCGCTCGACTTTCTAGAAGAAACCGCCATTGCAGCACCAGTGGAGAAAGAAAAAGCGAGAGAGAGAAGACGAATGAAGGAGGAGAGGAGAGGGTTTTCGTTTTCCTTATAACCCGTGTTTAGCTTTTCAAATTGGCAAACCTAGCTTTACTCGAGCCATGTATTTATAGGAAGGACCCGGGCCGAATATTTCGCGATATTTTTACGCGAAATTGGATGCTTTGCAAATATGCCCCTACAGTTGGAGGTATTTGCATATCTTACCGAATAAGTATCGATTTTTGTAGTGGAGGGTGAGGCAAGTGGAAGATTCTGTAGTCGCTGTAATTTGGCCCTCTTTTATTATGTTATTAAAATCAATATTTTTGTTAATGAGATGAAACTGAAGCCATGTTTGGAGACACTGATTATACACGAAAGGTTATTTAATTATAATTCCATTAATTTTTTCCTTCTTCCATACGTTCGTAATTTGAATTAACCCCAGATTAAATATTTTTTTACTGATTCAAAGTATTGAATTGTTGAAAAGTCGGTCAATGCAATATTTTACTTATAATTTTAGTTTTAATTTTTAGAAGAAATAACGAAATAATAATGAATTACCAAATTTGTGAAAGTGCCAAAATAGAAGGGCATTTAGGGGAAATGGAGCGAAAATTTAAACCTAACCAAGAGAGGGGGGCAGTTGGGTTAGGGTTGGGATCCATATTCCAAAGAGAGAACGGTTTTATTTGTAAAGCTATGGGCTGCTCCAATAATTAAAAAGGAAAAACAAAAAAGGCAAAACGATAAAATTGAGTGCCGTTTTGGGTGACAGTTTCAAGGAATGCTGAAAAGCAAAGTTCCACGTACTATGAATTACCGGTCTGACACAGTCCATCTGCATTCCACGTACCCCATATCTGTTCCCGTGGGCGGTTTTTTTATTATTCCCGAGTTTTTTTTTATAATAATAATACTTTTTAATTTAAAAAATAATAATTTATGGGGTTGAAAGTGGACACCTGTTCTTATGGTGGGCCCCAGGAGAAACTTTGGGGGGAAGTATTTCACATGGGAGTATGGTCCCATGGCAGAGGGGCCTTTTTTTTTCTTCCTTTATTCCAAAGCTTTCCTAACCAATTTAACGATTTTCATTTTTAGAAATTTTAAACAAAATAATTTTATTTTTTTATTTTTTTATTTTGAAGGTTCAATTTGGCTCTCAATTTTTTTAAATTTTCTACTAAGTCATGAGAAAAAATATAATTTAAGATTAAGTAAAAAAAGGAAAAAGAAAAAGTTTAGTGAATTTCATATATATCAATTTAATAAGATTAAATAGATTGAATTAAAACTCTTAAAACAATAGGTGACATAATTGATATTCTTTTATCTTTTCTATATTAAATCTGTGCTTCCCATCTTCTCAAAAATAAAAAATAATAATGTGTGCTTCTTATTTTTCTTAAATTTGTGCTTCTTGTTTTTCCTTGTTTTTTAAAATTTTTAATTCTTTTTTCTTGGTCGTTAACATATAAATTATTTTGTGATTTACTATTATTTCCTTTTTTTTTAATATCGGGCGTGAAATGTATCATTTTAATACTATTATTTTAAAAAGTAATGTTCTCATTCAAACACAAATCTCTCTCAATTCTTCTAATTTTATCTCTATTTCTAAACACTATCTTCAATCTTTATAAATTTCTCTCCCTCTCAATTTCTGTCTTTCTAATTTTATCTCTTCTTTCCAAATATTATATTTTTATCTTGACAATTTTAAATATAAACTAAAATAAATAATAATTTGAGTAAAGAATTTGAACGGATCAATAAGAATAAGTGAACCAAACAGAAAAATAATAATGAAAGATTAAGAGAGAGAGATAAATGAAGTTTTTGACTGAGAAAAATATTTGAAAAAATTGGAATTTGCAGGAGTTGAAATAAAATATTTGGAAACAAAAAGTGGTGCAGTGGAGAAAATGAGAGAAAAATAATGGGTGAATTTTGAGAAAATTTAGAGTGTGAATCTTAGGGAGAGAAGTGAGAGAAAATTGGTGGAACTAGAGGAAATTTAGAGGGATGGAAAGATAGAGGATGAATGAATGATCAAAGTATTATAGAAAATAATTAAAATTAAAATGCAAAAATGAGATGATAAAATTTCTCGTGCCAGTCATAAATGCAACAAATAATAACTTAATTTTAAATTTTGGAAAGAAAAGCCAAACAAGAGACTTATGGCTCGGCATTCCCAATAAACTAAAGTGAGTGTTACAAATTTCCTCACACGAGTCTTGTGTGTTCTTTTGATTAATTAATGAAGTGGATGCAAATAACTTTTTGGACAACACATTACGTGAACAAAATGATCAAATGCATCGATTTTATTATTTAAATAACTTTTTTTAATTCAACAACAGGAGACAATGATTAAGTGCTTTATTTCGAATGGACATATTTTAAGCAAATTTGTAGTATTATATTGAAATCTATTTCAGACCATGGTAATTGTAATTAGATGATTTATAAAATTAAGGTTATGCAACTCTATTACATTTAATTAATAAAAATATTTAAAAGAAAGATAATTTTAAAATGTGCAACAGTCTTGATATGTCTCTAATAACAATTTAAAAAATAAAATTGCAAACAATGAACTTAATTTTAAAAAATAAAAAGTAAACAAAAAAAAATTATAGGAAAAACTAAAAAGAGAGAAGTAATTAATGGGTTAATGTGGTATTAAATTATACTTAAAATGTGATGTGAAAAGGAAAATTCGATAAGTGGGCACGGTGCGGTGGACGGCTGGCTGCGGCTTGAAAATTTCAAAATTTTAAAGTCTAAATTGTCAAATATTCTACGGGCGCATGCCTTTGACTCGGCTTCCTTTGGAACTTTCTTCTTTTGCTTCTTCGCCCCTTCCTTTTCCCTTCTGCTATTAAAATCTAAAATTTAATTAAATATGATTTTAGTCCCAATAAAAATTTTATTTTTATCTTTTGTACTTGTTATTTTAATTCCTATACTTTCAAATTATTTTTTTTATACTAGTATATTTTAAACTTTTTTAAAATTACAGATATCAAAACCGACATTTTGAAAGTCTATAGACTTCAACGAACAAAATGTGAAAATACAGAAACCAAAATGATTAAAACACAAAAATACATTATCAAAATAGTATTTAAACATAAAATCCACTCCTTGCACAATCAATTACCAAACTAGCAGACTAAAACATAACTTATCTCAAGATTAGAAATCAGATGGTTATGTTCTCGATACGGTTAGGAGAAAGAAAATATAGAAAAGAAAATAAAAGAGATATTTCAGAAAAAAAAAATAGTTACCAAAATTTTAGTGTGATTGTCAAAATAGCATAGCTCAACAATAATTGAGATATATCTACAACCAAAAGGTTATGAGTTCGATCGCCCATCCCTACAAGTTCTACTTAAAAAAAAAATAGTATGACTTCTACCATCGAGATTGGGAGGCACTCCTATCCTAGACTAAATATATGTTTTGGTATCTATATTTTTGTAAATTTTTTCTCAACTTAGTTACTATTGCTTAGAAAAATTTTATTTTAGTTTTTACATTTTTAATTAATTATATTATTTCATATGATATAATTGATACTAAATATACTTTGACATGATATTTGATAAATCGAAAGAAAATTAGAAGACGGAATTTGAAAATTTTAGTTTCTAGATGCATAATCACCCAATATCATGTCATGTAAGCTTACTTTTTAATCGTTTTTACATCAATAAAATTGAAACCTTTTAAACATCAGTACCATAACTCCAACATCTATTAAGCCTTTTAAATAATTTAAAAGTTAATTTTCTCCCCACACACAATAAAAAAAAAAATGGTGGGTGGCAGCTCCTTAATTAGGGGATACCATTACAATGCAATTGGGCATTGCCCTTTAAACAAAGTTGGTGCCTNGATGTTATTGGTGCTGGCATCTTCCATTTGAGCATCATATGACTGTAAGTCTTTTCTTTTTCTTTTTTTTTTTGGGGCAAAAGAGAAACAACTCATTGTCATGGCCATTATTACTATAAAGTTGGTTGTTTCATGTTCGCACAAGAAAGCTCAATCCTATCCTCTTCTTCTCTCTTCCTAACTTTCATATAAACTTCCATTCTTACCCATTTCTAAATTTCTAATTCATCCAAACTCCATTCTTCCAATCGCGTACTATTTGCTATGTTATCGTGTTATCGTGCTAAGCAAGGCATAGCGGTCCATACTGAATCCTCCTAAATTGATGGTTTTGAAGTAAATATAAAAATAGAAAATATTATTGACGAACAATGTACCTGAATATCACCCATCAAATATCAACAATAATTTCACATGGAGCTATAAAAATCACTCATAGTTATCTATATATAGCTTGTCACGTCAAGATACGACAAATGCTAAATTTTGAATTTATATGTGTACATACTGACTCGGTATTATCCTCTTCGATTGCAATGACGTGATGATGTTGTATTTGTTTTTTTTTCTCATAAACGTGAAATTTTTTGTTTTTAGCTTGTTAGAGAAATTATGAAATTTCATTTTAATTGTTTGAATTGCCAAATAATGTAGGAAATTAAAATTCCAGTTATACCCAATACAATAATATAAGTCAAATATTATAAATAATGTTAAAAAATATCATATAAATTTGTTCAGATTGATTTTGGGCATATTGTTCTATATTACTGATGGTTCAGCCTTGGTTTCAAAGTGTTTCGATTTGAGGTTCAAATATTTGTTAAAAAAAAATCAAAATAAGTTATATAATGGGATCCCTATTATTCATGTGAAAAAACATATGATTAATTGCATATATTATATGAAGTAACATCTTTCATAATTTCAATTAAATCTAAATAATTAACATAAAATTATAATTAACTAACAGCTCAACGAATCAAGACACCTATATCGTAGCAAAAGGTTGTGAGTTCGAATCCCTATCTCTCACATGTCATATACTAAAATTATTTTTGTTTACCCTTTTTCCAATAAAAAAAATAGAATTGCATGGCCGTTTATAACCTGGTGGATTAAAAAATGATAAAACAAAATTTTTATTTGTATTGAAACAAATTACAAACGAGAAAAAAAACTTATTTTTATTGTTTCCAAAATTTCTATCCAATTGTGATAATGTTTCTAAACAATGAAAARCAAAAAAATATTAAATAGTTGTCAAATGCTTAAATTTCTTAATAAAATTAAAAATAAGAAAAAAAAAAGTTGAACTTAGTTCTAAATATTCAAAAAAATTGAACAGGTATATTAAATGCAGTATTAAAAAAGTATATTAAATATAATGTAATGTATATAATTAAAATAATTATAAGCATTATTAAGATCATTAATCCATGTCACCTCCAGCATTGCTTGACGTACGTTGGAGGCAGCCACAATGCTGTCTTCTCCAACCAAACCAAAATGTTCACTAAAACATGGGATCTCTTTACTATTAATTAAATCTAATTAATTTTAGTTAACCAAATTAAAATGAATAAAATACAATTCGAAGCTCTAGTACTAAAATGATATATACAAATTCTTTGCAATTCTCACTTAATATTCATCCACATCAACATATAAAATTAAGGTAGGGTTCAATTGGGATAAGGACATGAATTAAATATTGACATGATTAAATTAAAAAATATATATTAGTGGTTGAGCTCATCTCTTGATTTGCCACTAATTACTAAAAGTTGGTAATATGGGACCATGGCTATTTCTTTTATTTACTTTTTCTTCTTCTTTTTTCAATTAATTAGAAAACCCCATTTTGGGCATGTATTAGGCTTTGGTATCAATTAAAAATTGTTCTTGTTAAAATCAATCTTCTTCTTAATGTAATGATAACAACTTTATAATATTTAGGTGAGATCATGTTCGAGAGTAATCTTTTTTTTACAGAAAGAATGGTACATCATTATTATGGCTTTTGGTTTGGTAGACATTAGTTTAGTGGTTAGTATGCTCAAAGATCTACCGTATCTTCAATATTTGTGCTTAAATTATATTAAGTTTCATGTAACATTCTTGTTTCTAATTTTTGATAAATTTGGGGTCCCTTTGCTAATATTTCTGTTTGTTGTTTTTAATAAACAAAAATGAATTGCATTGCCTTAATGAATTCAATAAAATAGTATTTGTATTTATATTTTAGAAAAAATTGGAAATGGAAATAAGAAATAAGAAATTTGTTTTGATTGTTTCCAAAATTTCTATACAATTTTGAAAATATTCTTAGATAAAGATAAGCAAGAAATATAGATAGTTGCAAAACGCTTACATTTCTTAAGAAAAATGAAAACGACAAACAAAAAATGAAAATATTACCAAACGGGCCTTTAATAACTTGTTTCTATTTTTCGTTTTTTATTTTTAGATAAACGTTTATAAAATTGTGTAAAAATTTTGAAAAGGACAAAAAGAGAAAAAAGAAAAAGTTTCTAGCTTCTTCTTCCCTTTCCAGTTTTTTTTCTTCTAAATATAATAAAAAATATTATTTTATTATTATTAATTTAAAAATGTATAATAAATATTAAAAAAATAACATAAAATATTTAATATTTAATTTAAAAATATAAAATTTCGTATGAAAATATATTTTTAATTTAGAATTAAAAAGGAAAAGAAAGAAAAACAAGGAAGGATCATCAACCATGTTTTTGTTTCTTTTTCAAAAATAAAAAAGAATAATAAATAATAAATAATCATCTAAAGGTTTTTGTTTCTCTTTCAATAAAAAAAATAACAAAAAATAATAAATAGTCATCCAATGTATACATTCTATTTTTTCTTTATTAAAAAAAGGTAACAAGAAACAAGAAATAAAAATATTATCAAAACGTACTCGATCAAACGAAAAATTTAATACCTTTAATATTGGACATAAATTCTTAAATTATTTATAGTGAAAAATAAATAAATAAAAAGAGAAATAATAGAGTATAAAAGAAATATTTGTTGTTAGATTTATATAATTCAAAGGTAATTGGAAGCGAACCTATACCTATTAATATGCTATTATTTAGATTTTCTTATCTCAAACTATAAATTTACTAATTTCATGAACTATAAAACTCAATAATTTATATGGATGAAATCCTGCTTTTATACTCCATGCTAACTTTTACCGAACTTTTTGTTATAGCAAAAGTTGGTTAATATTCATTTTATCTTTGTATTCTCAATTTTTATTCATGTCGACGTTTTAGTCATTTTACTTTTAAAAAACAATCATTTCGATCCTCTTTTATAGAATGATAACACAAATTTTAAATGTAATGAAAATTCTTTAATAATTCAATTTTATAGGGCTACATCTCTTACAAATAAGTAGGTGGAATGTTCTACTAAAATTTTGATCCTAATAAATGAAATAAAAAAAATAAAAAAATCAAACTAGACATTTTATTTATTTTCTAAGCAGACGTTTTTTCTCATCGCTCTAAGAACGTTGATTTTAGTGTGTAATAAATTGTCTTTAGAAAGATATGGTTTTCTATAATCTGACATTTTAAATGATGATTTCAATAGGAAAAAAAAAATTATATTTTGAAAACATGAATTTCAAAATATCTTGCCACAATTTGATTTTAATTCATCTGGAAATAGAAGCTTTTAAGACCGAAAAAGAATTAACTTACTTTATTAGTCAAAGAGATTTAGAATAAATTGAGAGAGAATGGATTCTCAATAGAATCAGTCGACTGGTTTGTGAGATTAGTCGAGATACACATTCTATCCATTTTTCATCAATGATTTTAACTTAAATTTTGGTCTTTTCAAAATCCAGCACTTAACCCACTTACTTCTAATATTTTAAAAATAAAAAATAAGTATTAAAATAATTTTATAAAATTAAAATTATAGGGAAAAAAATGTTTTTCCTCCACTTTGGGCGGTGATCACTGAAATGAAAAGTATTTATGGGTCTAGTTTTGAATTTGTTCTATGCTCTTGCCTCTCGCTGTGGTCCTCTTCATTATAATAAATTAATACCATAGACAATAATTATTTTATTTGTTTGAAAAATATGACTTTACACAACCACATGCTGTTGATTTTTCTCAAACTTTGAAGGTTCATATTCCACCTCCTTTTTTCCCTTCCTTATTCTTCATTATACAATTCAATTCACAATCACATGGTATTTTTTAACCAAATACGTTTATGTTAATATTGAGATTCTCTCCTAGAAGTACAAACATACTTTGTTTAATATATAATTACAAAATGTAAAACATCAAATTTCTCTTTTTTAAAATAGTCAGGATTCGAAAATTAACGAACCAATCTTCATTTGTAATTGTTAAGTGATTTGCATTAAATGATTGAAAAGCGATGTTACAAAATTGCCTATTCAACACGAACAAATGTCAAAAGCTAGAGGAGCGAGTGAAAATGTCGTCATTTTGAGAAAGCCCTTCTGTTTTTGAAAAAAGAGTGATCAAAATTGAAGGGCAATGGGAAATGTCCCAATTGGTGCAATGTGTTTGTGTGTCTTTGTGGCCATTAAATAAGAAAGAATTGATGTGAACATTTATTATTTATTATATTAGGAATCTCTTCTTCAAGCTAAGTCTCCCCAAAAAAAGAAAAAGTTTGACCACTTTTACTTGGTTGATTGGGGTATTTGATACTCTCATAAAAGGAAATGTTGGAATAAGTCAAGTCCATGTTAGCATACCAACCCAAAGTATAAGCTTCTAAATCATTATATAATAATATTAAAATAATATTCCTAACTATTATTATTAGGTTATTATATTTTGTAAGGGTAGAGATGTAAATAGTGGTTGGAACACACGTTAAATAATGAAGCATCTTAATTAGGAATGGTAAAGGGGAGGGAACGATAAATAAAAATTATTTAGGTGTTGACTAATCAATATTTATTATTTTACTAACTATTATTAAATTTTTGACATGCTGGAGCGAGAAATGTAGGAAGAGAGATTAACATAAAGATAACTGAAATTGCATAATAATTATTGTAATTATTATCACATACCAACACCAACAAACATGCTACATTCATTTAATATGAATTCTCATATAATTATTTTAATAGATTTCCCCAGATTAGGCCACGGCACGCCCTGCAAGATCAGTACTAATAAATCTTGCTTAAGATCTAAGTGAAGTAAATTTAATTTAATTTTACATTGCTCAACAGAGAATTGATTTGATTGAGAAACATGATAGCATTAACTATTCTGATTCAGAAAATCTCGCCATGGCGTAGATTCCAATGAATACTGAAGTCACATTGAAAGCAACAATATTCCAAAGAAAAAATCTCTCTAAAAAACAGAGAGATTCCCCAAAAATTGGCGAAATCCACAAGCACAAAGAAGTTGAAGTTGAATAAATTTTCATCCATTATGAATTGAATTCCTAAGAACACGAATTGATAACCGACTGAATACAGTTCTTCATGAACAATATTTCCAGATGCTTTTCGAATTATCTTCCGATTCTTGAATATATACAAGATCGAATCAAGAAAAGACTAATTCTAATTTCGAAGATCGCACTAATTAATGCAATGTCCTCTTGAATGTATGTACACGCACACTACATACAAACTCGTCCGCAAAAGAGCGAGAACAGAAATCGGCGAAGTTTTTCGGAAGAACATCCAGAATTCAGAAACTAAATTCAAGAAACAGCCAATCCTGTTCCATGATTGTTCATCAAGCAAAACCTGGAAGGCCTCGGGTTGAAATTCCTCCGCCGCTGAGGATCGTTACCCGACGGCTTGATGATCTGCAGAAGAAACGCCCTCAGCGCGTTCGCCTTCGCCAACATCGCGAGATCCAATTGCGCAGTGGAAATGGCAGCAATGGAGGATGAGGACGTAGCGGAGACGACCTTGCGGCGGTTCCGATGAAAACTGCAGCGGAAAGAGCCGGGATGGTTGGTCGGAGAACAGAGGCACCTGCGTTTGGAGGGGGCAGAATTTGAGGCCATGGAAATTAGTTCAAATGCTCGAGGAGGAATTTGGGAGTGAATTTTTTTTTTTTTGTTTTTGTGAACTGATTCTCCTTTTTGTGAGGGAAACTTGTGGAAGAAGATTGGTGGATTAGAGTTTTGGAGGATTTTGAAGGCTTTTCTATTTTTATAGTGAGTTAGAATCGTAATTACTTCACTACCCCTCGATGTTCTTCAAGAATTAAATTACAACTGCAATTTGTTTGGCTCGTTGGATCATTGGAATTTGGAAATCGAAATTGCAATTTGTTCGGACGTAATTAATTTCAAGACGTTTTTAACTATCCGGAAATTTGGGAATTGCGAGATATTTTGAGTTCACACGTTAGTTTTCTTCTTCAATTTAAAAAATATATATATAATAAAATAAATAATAATAATAATAATAAATAATAAACTTTTGGGTCAATGGTTGGAACTTGGAAGTCCTATCTTATTTTCCACCCATTTCTTTGGTAGTTTCATTTTAAATTTTGAAATGAAAGAAGAAAATGATAAAACAGGAGTTCATCAATTAGACGATATTGCATGTGAGATAGAAGGATTTTGAATGTTAGATTAGTTAAAATTTATAATTAAACTAACACTAAAAGATACTTAATAAATTGAAATGTTATCAGATTTATGGAGATAATTATAACTTAAGTTTACTTGTAAAACAAGGAAATTAATGAATGCTCCAAATTAGGAAGGTGGTTCAATGCATGGAGAAAGTGGTATGAATGGTTTGATTTCTTTTTTTTTTTTTTTTAAATATGAATGATAGGGAAGTTGATTAAGAAAGAAGAGGGAGATCCACTTGGCAATCTCAGTTTTAATCCCAATAATTATAGATTATACTGTGAGCTGTTTGCTTAGTGGAGAAGAGATTATAATTTAGGGACTAATCTAACTTTAATGACAAGATAATTATTCTCAATATCTTACTTCCCTTTGCGTATACTTTTTTTCTTCTTCTTTCTGTTTGGCCATAAAGAAAATTCAAAGCAGCAAATAATTAAGATTTGGACGGCCAAGTGGGACAAATCCAAGACTTTTACTCCCACATTCTCCCTTCTTCATACAAATAGACTTCACTAAATTGTTTTCTTTTTTGCCTAAATAAAATGTCGGTTTACTCGTGGGTCCTTCTAAAACATTCTTTGATTCCATTTAAACAAATTCATGAGATGAATTTTCACTTCAAAATCAAAATAATGACACTGCTTCATGGGAAAACAATATCAAGACTCTTGTTTTTCTTCCTCAACTATATAGGATTACGTAATAAAGAAGTATAAATTTTGAACAAGATGCCAATAATTTAAAAGTATCTATCCTTCAATAAAATTGAGACTTTGTCATTTCCCTCGCGTCGATATCAACATTTGAATCCTTGATAAGGACCACAAAAACTTGTTTTATTTTCAAGGTCTCAATATTTTAAATAGCCTAAGATATTTTAAGAAGAAAAGTAATGAACTTACATATACAAACCATTGAAAACTTGTCAAAGTGAAAGGTCAAGACCAATAAAGTCCTTTAGGTATCTACAAAGCACCCATCAAAACTATAGGTTTGGAAATTGATTCATGTTTCAAGAATACCATAACTAGGGAAAATAAACATATTGTACAAAAATAAATAACTTCTAATGTAATGGGGAGAGAGAGCTAGGTAAAAGATGTACCTACAAACATACATGGATGTGCAATCCCTACTGCGGTTTTCTTCGTTCTCACTGAGCATAATTGGCTGTATGGCTCTTCGTATATACACGATGTCGTCGCTCTCTGGCATAGATAACCCAGAAAATTAATGACAGCATCACGGCTGCAGACACCAGAACCAATCCAATGTAGATCCACTGTGTATATCGACGCAAACCGGGACAGTAGTGGTCTTGTATGTCTGTGAACGTCTGCCGCAAAAAAGAGCAATCTTGCAAACTAACCAAGTATGGACCATATTTATACAATCCATAGCTTACATTTACTGCACCTGTCATTTGACTGTAGTAGGTTGGGGTCAGCCGGCCAGGAGTTGTACAAGTACCAGAAGCTGAAGCTTCACAGATATAGTTCTTCCAAACCTACATGGAAAATGAAATATTTCACATTCCTCCTTTATACATAGAATATAATAAGTTTATATGGCACAAAGGTTGTTTTCGACTCGTGCCAAGCAAAGAGACACACTAAGAGAGGTCGCCGAAAACTCTAGATGGGAGGGGCAGACCTTTTTGTAAAAGAAAAATGAGTTCAAGATGAACTTGCCTGGGACAACGACAACATTTACAAGATCCCCCTCAAAGGTTATGGTACCAGTTTCCTGGCTTGTCATAAAGCTATAAAAGACAACTTTAAGGTGGATAATGGATATAAAAGCCATTGTACAAGAAGTAATTTGCTTCACCCAAAACGGGGACTTGTTGGGCCAATCAAGTAGACTCTGAAAACCTTTGGCAATCAAAAACTTCTTTTAACGTTTAGATTGATGCTTTGTTAATTCTCTTACCTCTGTAGCATTCCGCAGTTCTGCTTCACCCGATGCACATGATCGGTCGGTAAGATTTGAATGAAATGGATTGCAGAGGATGGGCATTGATGGACCAGATTGATTGAAATATATGGGTGGTCCAACATTTGGTGGGACGTTACGATTTGCAATCCCAGTGATGACACTGTTAACCACATTAACAAGTTGAAATGCTACATTCTTTGATTGTGTGAGAGTTTCTTGGGCTGTGGCATTGTCCACACATGGGAGGATGTCATCCAAAGCTGTATGGGCAGTTGGGTTTTGAACCCACTCATCCATTGACACACATGTATCTGCTACCACACTAATGTGTAATAAGAAAAGAAGTCAGCAGACTTGCATCACATAGGATTACCTCTCATGTAAAGCTTAAAATTATATACGAAATTAGAGAGGTTTGCCTTAACATTTCAAATTTAGTAAACTTCACAAATGTTTAGACCCGATATACATAGTTCCAAGAAAGTCGAACATGCTTCCAATTCCAGTGAAGTACAAAATGTCAAGAAAGCTTAATCCCTATTCACTTTTCATTAATAACTTGTAGATATAAGGGGAAAAAAGGTATGCACTACATTAAAAAGTTGATGGAGATTATGTGCTTCCCTCATCAGAACCCCTTCCCATGTGCCTGCCTAGTGAGGCCAGTGAACAGGTAGGTAGCCTCTCCTATTCATGAGGGTATGCTTGAAGTCATAATTTCAGCTTATCATTGAGTTCAAAATGTCAAGCAGAACACATAAATGAACTGTCCTAAAACTAGATCTAATGCAATTTTCCATAGAGAACTACTATGTGCAGATCCAGGAAATAGAGAACTGTAACCCAGTCATGAAGAAACAAACTTACTTGTGAAGGAGGAGAAAAACGCCACACAAGATGAATGTGCCAGTAACAAGAATCCAACCAATGATCACCAAACTGCAGTCATCAGGGACCAAGTGTTCATCACACGGAATACGTGTGGAAGAATATATGCTTTAATATCGTAATCAATTTGAATTAATTAGTAAAATATGAGCTATAAACTTACGAGTATACAAGAGACTGCATCCCAAGGATGGAAAATACTGCAACAGATAGCCAAAAAAAAAAAAAACATATAAACAATGAGCTCGATTGGATTGATAAAATCTTCAAGTGTATCTTAAAGTACTGAGAAGTATAAACACTTACAAAATCCAAGAAATGCCAGAAGGAGCATGACAGCAGCAAGAATTATAAGAGCCAACCTTCTGCAGTGCAATAGGTCAATGAAACCGTTAATAGTCAGATAAGCAAGCACCATAATATAGTAAAATGGCTACCACTTACATATGATCGAGTACATATTGGATATCTTTTGAATTATTTCCAGTCGTCTCAGAAAGAGTTGTAGCAGAAGAGTTAATCAATTTATCAATCTCATCGATTTTGCTTTGGACATCTCCAGGAAGAAATCTTGATGCAACTCCTATACTCTTAGCTGCACTGAGGTAACCTGACACCTTGTCAAGGTTATCAACTGTTGTATCAGCTTGATTCACTACATAGTCCAATGTCCTTGATGTGATGCTGTGAAACTTCCCCTGACCCGTGTACAAAACAACACACCCGACACTGAACCAAACATTAAAATTCGAAGATGAAATTTCAAAATATTGAAACATATAGAGAAGGATGGGGGAAAAAAATAGAAATGGAGCAAGATTTTACATTGCTGCAATGGTGAAGAGGATGAGGAAAATGAGAGAAAGAGCATAAGCTAATCGAGAATAGCCATAAGGCTCCCTTGGACAACAGCAACAGCATAGGCAGATGAACATCAAACAAAATCCAAAGAGAATGAACCAAATGCCAGCAATGACAAAGAAGGGAGCCGCTGTAAAGGAAACCGACTGCATAACAAGAGAATTATCAGAATAAAAGCAAAACACCCAAGAGAGCAAATAAGTTAACAAAATAAAGTATAAAAACAAACGCTTCAAGAATATCATAATAACAATTACAAGTCAAAGTTGGCGCGAAATCAAGCCAACTATGAACAAAGATAATCCATTCCTTAATTAAAAAAAAAAAAATCTAAGTGAAACAGACGATGCAAAGTCTTCAAATTAAACTAATCACTATCCCTAACCAACTCAACCCACGAATTTACAAACAGAAGTCAAATCAAAGCTCCTTTTCCCCTTCTCTGATTACTAAACATTCTAAATCCCTCTTTAATGACTAGCGAAAAGGCAACTATACAGATTTTGAATCCATGACATTAATAGATCATTCCAGAACAAAAAATCTAAGTCAAATTAATTATAAACTGAAACAAAGAAATGATAAGAAAAATCGATATCTAATAGCCACATAGCAA